AGCAGGAGAGCCTACTTCGGCACCAATGTCTGCCTCAGGCCCATTCCATAGCCCAATACCAACACATGCAGGCAGACCTGGCTCCTGCCCATTTCCACGCAAGAAGTTGGCGGACTTCTTTTCTCTGCTTCAGGAACTCCTGCAAGTCATAACAGAAAGTGAGGCTTAAGCAGCAAGACAAACAGGATCCAGGGCAGGCTGCAATGTATGGTGACCGTTTCCTTCTGGGGCAATGCCCACTGATCCAGAGGCAACCCCAGGGCCAAAGGCCTGCTCTGCTCAGCCTGTCCTCCTCTGACTGCCCACAAACCCTGAAAGCTTACTCAATTCTAGAAATAAAACTGCCTATTCTCAGAGCTGACTATGCCTCAGTCCAATTCAGTCTCGGGGGCAAGGCAGGGACTTCCATAGATGGCACCTGAAACACGAGGCTGCGTGCAGCCAGGTGGCCACAAAGGCAAAGAGTCACCCAACGGGCTGAAACTCTGCCCGCTCAGAGAGGAGGGTGCTCACAGCCACACAGGCAGCAACGGGATGGAGAAGGCTGGCATACTGAGGCTAGGGAAAAATGATGTGGCATGCAGAAGACTTTTGGGGAACGTGTGAAGGCAGGCAAGCGGATGACTTGGCAGGCCCTGGCTTCAGGATTTGCTAACTGAGCAGACCAAGAGAAACTCCTGGACATGATATGAGAAATTGTTGAACATAATAAATAACAGAGTTAGAAACTGACATGTTACAGACAGCATTACAAGGAATGGCCAGATTTCACAAGGGGTTAAGGGGGAGTCATGTGAGAGATGGCCAAGCTTCACAGGTAGTTGAAGGGATTGCTAGGGAGTGGAATCTGGCAAGGCCAGTGTTATCTAGGAAGTCACATCAGTAATAACAGCAGCCTGAGCTGAATCAGGTAACAGCATCTGAAATACCAAATTTGGGTATTGATGTAGTAAAACTGAGTGTTCATAGCCCCTGGCAGGTTGGGGTGCTGCAGCTCATTTGTCTGTTCCCATTCAGGGTGACATAGCATACCTCCAGCAAATTGGGATCTGAAGATACCACGGCATGCCCTTTGCTTCACCCTCATCATGATTTGAATGGAGCTGTCCTGACTCTGAAGATGATGCTGTAATATGGTCCCTCCCTGAACAATTCAACGTTTCTGGAAAGAGACCTCAGCCTGGCAGTCCAGTGTGGAGCACAGGGTCCACTGACCTCCCTCCAGGAGGGCTGATACCCTCCCCAACTCACAGCTCACCACGCCAGCACCCCTGAAGTCAGGGGTGTCACAGAGCTCCAGGCAGCTCTGTGGCTGAGCTCGGTTAGCAGAGGGCTCTGATAGGTGGGTTTGGGATAGAGTGCAAGTGTGAAGCAACTGAAGGGACTGGGGCAGCAGAAGGCTAGGAGCAGTGGCAACAGGAGGGCTTGGGGGTGCAGTCTGGGATGCAGCAGGGCTGCAGGGCAGGATCTCTGCCCTTCCTGATCTGGCTTTCTCCAAACTCCAAGTGTTGCTCAAAAAGCACCTTCTGCAGTTTGATCTCCTTCAGCACTTGCATAACCTCTGGCCTTGCACCACTCTGCACCAAATCGTAATGTTCAGC